TTCAACCCCTTTGTTATGACAAGCCTAAATAAGGTCAGGAGTAAAAATGTGCTTAACAAGTCACAAGTTGCATGTATTTACAATAATAATGTTTAACATGATTTTTGAATGACTACCTCATCTATGTACCCCACACATACAATTATCTGTAAGGTCCCTCAGTCGAGCAATGAATTTTAAACACAGATTTTAACCACAAAGACCAGGGATGTTTTCCAATGCCTCGCAGAGAAGGGCACCTGTTGGTAGATAATAAAAAAAATCAGCAGACATTGAATATCCCTTTGAGAATGGTGAAGTTATTAATTACACTTTAAATGGTGTATCAATACACCCAGTCACTACAAAGATTCAGGCGTCCTTCTTCACTCAGTTGCCAGAGTGGAAGGAAACTGCTCAGGGATTTCATCATGAGGCCAATGGTGACTTACAGTTACAGAGTTTAATGACTGTAATAGGAAAAAACTGAGGATGGATCAACAACATTGTAGTTACTCCACAATACTAACCTAATTGACAGAGTGAAAAGAAGGAAGCCTGTACAGAATAAAAACATGCATCCTGTTTGCAACAAGACACTAAAGTAATATTGCAAAAAAAATTGGGCAATACATTTCTGTCCTGAATACAAATTCTTATGTTTGGGGAAAATCCAATACAACACATTACTGAGTACTACTCTCCATATTTTCAAGCATAGTGGTGGCTGCATCATGCAATGGGTATGATTGTAATCATTAAGGACTGGGGAGTTTTTCAGGATAAAAAAGAAACAGAATGCTATTGGAAAAGCTGGTTCAGTCTGCTTTCCACCAGACACTGGGAGATGAATTCACCTTTCACACAAGGCCAAATCTACACTGGAGTTGCTTGCCAAGAAGACTGTGAATGTTCCTGAGTGGCTAATTTACAGTTGTCACTTAAATCTACTTTAAAATATATGGCAAGACCTGAAAATGGTTGTCTAACAATGATCAACCACCAATTTGACAGAGCTTGAAGAATTTAGAAAAGACAAATGGGCAAAAGTTGCACAATCCAGGTGTGGAAAGCTCTCAAAGATTCACCGAGAAAGACTCACAGCAGTATTTGCTGCCAAAGGTGCTTCTACAAAGTATTGACTCAGGGGTGTGAATACTTATGTAAATGAGATATTTCTGTATTTAACTTTCAATAAATTAGCAAACTTTTCTAAAAACATGTTTTCACTTTGTTATTATGGGGTATTGGTTGTAGATGGGTGAGGCCAAAAAATATTTAATGCATTTTTTATTTGGTCTGTTACACAACAAAATTTGGAATAAGTCAAGGGGTATGAATACTTTCTGAAGACACTGTACATATACTTTCTGGTTTTAAATCAATGCATGGATATCATGAGTAATTAGCCGCCTTCCCGGGCAGTTCTTTCAAGACATTAATCTCAGTTGGATCACCTGGATAAATAAAGGATGAACAAAACAGTAGGCTATAACATTTGGGCTGTATCAAATAAATGAGCAGTGGCCTAGTGAGTGTGCCAGGGGTCTGTCTGAGGGGTCTATCTGTAGATTCAGGAGACTGGTTGATCTAACAGGCAGCTGGGGTTCCCTGAGCTGAGCTGCTGCCATCGCTGTGATGCCTGGGAGCAGGTTCACACGCACAGCACTTTTGAGTGTTGGAAAGGGAGAGATACTCTCATCTTGATATTTGAGCATGTTTGTTTTTTGTCTTTGGATATTTCTTGTTTTTTGTGTTTTTGCATGTGTGTGTGCATGCGTGTTTATGCACTTGTGGGTGTTCCTGAAGCTTAGCAGCAGGTGGGGTCTGGGTATTGCGGTAAATCTTTCCTTTCTTTTTGCCAAACCAGCATTGTCTGTTGCCTTGTCTCAGTCTGGTTGGCTGGTGTGTACTCCAGGCAGCAGAGGACCTGTGAATGTAGAGCATGCTCAATGTAGAACACAACACATGACTGTTTGTCAGGCCCTAGTCCCTTCCCTTTGCACCTTCTGGTTCTTTCAGTGTTTGGTCGTGTCTGTGTGTGCACCACTGGTGGCTGGTGGCACCTTAATTGGGGAGGATGGGCTCATGGTAATGGCTGGAGCGGAAGTAGTGGAATGGTATCAAACACATTGTTTCCGGGTGTTTGATGCCATTCCATTTGCTCCGTTCCGGCTATTATTATGAGCCATCCTCTCAGCAGCCTCCTGTGGTGTGTGCGTCTCTTAGGGCAACCCCCTGGGGAAAGACAAGAACGAAATGCACCATTCCAAACTGCATCATTGTAACCAGGTTTATTTATAGGTCCTGTCTGTTGTAGGTCAGTCACCGCTGCCTGCCCTGCCCCCGGCCTTTATTCTAGGCCATTGTTCTTCAATCCGGCTTCTAGGGACCCACAGGGTGTGCAGGCTTTTGTTTCAACACAACACACCACCTGATTCAACTAATCAGTGGCATCTGCCCTGTCCTCTATGTTAGTAGTTCCTAAACCCAATAAAATACACATTTTCTTGAGACAGACACACAACCACAACCCAAGCTTTAGCCTTGCTGCAACTCAAGACAGACAACCCAACTGTGGGTCCTCCTGACTGACACATGAAAAGACACCATTTTGGTAAACCTATTTCACCAGGCCCTCTGGGTGTTGGTGGACTCTGTGTTTAACAGATATGTTATTCCAGGTCTGAGTGTGGCTCAGGGTTCATGTTTGCATCTGATTACCATAACAGTGAGGTCAATAGAAGGTCTGTGGCAGTTAGCTAGCAGGTTTATATATGGAAGTACAGGTGTGAGCGGCAGGTTTCAGATCCTAGGGGCAAGCCGGCAGCCGAGGTGAATGTTGGATGAATCCTTTCCTGCTTCAACTTGCTTTTCAGCCTGTTTGAGCTGTCAGAACGAAGAGGGTAAGACTTGAGGTCACCTCTGGGAGTGTAAGACGCATGAGGTAAAACGCATCAACCCATATACACAACAAGCTAGCATTGTTGCCTTCTAGTGAGCTGGGATAGGCTCTATGACTGCCTTATTGAGAAGGGAAGTTTAGGAGATCATGTGTCATGTTTTTAATTGGGAAGGAAGTGACAGGATGATGAAACACGGAGTAACTGTTGCTACTGGTGTGTGTGTGTGTGTGTGTGTGTCAGGTGAGAGTAACAGACACACTAACGTCTGGGTTCATGTCACACACTCAACATGTCCCTGGATTGTCCTGCTGGTCACCACCACACCCTGTAATCATGACACATCCTCCCTTCCACCCACCACCTGTGGCCAATGGAAGATCCCTCTCATGTTGTTTCCAGTCCCCTTGGTTTGAATGACAGATTTCTGCACATGGAATATCTGGATCATACTGTAGTCACACTGGACAACAGTGGATGCTACACAACTGCCCAACATGCACACACACACACACACAGCCATGTCTCTGATGCCTCAGATAAACCTTTCTACCCTGATCTTCTCTCTCTCTCTCTCTGAGGCTCAGCTCCTGCTGTATGTCACAAACTCTATTCCCCCTCTCCTCCTCCTCTTTCAAATTCTCTGTTTTCCTGTTTCTCTCTGTCTTTCTTTTCTTCTTTCCCATTTTTTCCCCTCCCTGAGCCTTCTCATTACCCTAGTGAACTAGAACATTGGCCAACTGAACTGTAAAAATTCATTGGTCAAAACAATACCAGGACACAGGTGTCAGAATGTGGAAGGTCATTCCATCCATAAGGCTGGAGAGGCTAACTCAAGCCCAGCATGTAGCACCAGGGCGGGGCTCCTCATCAGTCCAGAGCCTGGTCTCCCAGAGGCCTAGTTGATGGGACACTGGTCCTTTCCTATTGTTTTGGTTCCTATTCTCCCAAGGAGAGAAGCTGATACCCACAGTTAGTGGTTCTGGTTAGGTTATATTTACATGGGTGTTTCATGTGGCAGCAGGTCACACATTTTGCTGCTGGGATTGCACACTGCAGTATTTCGCCTAACAGATACAGGAGTTTGTCAAAATGTGATTTGTGTTTGAATTCTTTGGGGTTTGTGTAATTTGAGGGATATGTCTCTTAAATGGTCGTAGGTTAAAGGAGGTTAAAAAGTGCAGCTCTGTTTCCACCTCATTTTGTGGGCAGTGGCCACATATCTTGTCTACTCTTGAGAGCCAGGTCTGCCTATGGCAACCTCTCTCAATAGCAAGGCTATGCTTCAGGTATTCTGCCACTGTGTACTCTCTGTTTAGGACCAGATAGCATTCCAGTTTGCTCTGTTTTTTGGCTGATTCTTTCCAATGTGTCAAGTAGTTATTTATTTATTTATTTATTTTATTTATTATAATTTGGTTGGGTCTAATTGTGTTGCTGTCCTGGGGCATGTTTGTATTTGTGAAAAGAGCCCCAGAACCAGCTGGCTGAGGGGACTTTTCTCTAGGTTCATCTTGCAGGTTAGGGCTTTTTAATGGAAGGTTTGGGCATCGCTTTCCTTTAGGTGGTTGTGGAATTTAACGTCTCTTTTCTGGATTTTGATCATTAGTGGATATAGTCCTAATTCTGCTCTGCATGCATTATTTTGGGTTTTGCATTGTACTCTGAGAATATTTTTGAATAATTCTACATGTAGAGTCTCAATTGGGTGTTTGTCCCATTTTGTCACTTCTTGGTTGGTGAGTGAACCCCAGACCTCACAGCCCTAGAGGGCAATGGGTTCTATAACTGATTGGAGTATATTTTTAGCCAGATCTTAATTGGGATGTCAAATGTTATATTCCTTTTGATGGTGTAGAAGGCCCTTCTCTCTCTCTCTTTCTCACTCAGTCACTCACTCACTCAATCACACAGACCACTGGTAATACTGACCTCAGACTGAGTCCCCAATGTCACTCTATTTAGTGCAATACTTTGGACCAGTACCATTTCACCCAACTATTTGTATCTTATTTGTAGCTCATTTAAATTAGCTTGTTTACAGACATTTACAAATGTGTTTGGACTGTTGCCCTCTCCTCGTTAGTTCATTTTCAGTCGTGTCTTTTCCTTAACGAGTGCTCAGCATCGAGAGCAAGCATGAGGTCACCATCCTCAGTGGACTCAACGAATTTGTGGTCAAGTTCTACGGCCCACAAGGAAGTAAGTAGCCTTGAGCCAGAACGGCTCATAGGGCAGGAGCCTATCTCCTGTTTTTGTAGCGGGAGGCAGCTTGATGTACATGTACACCCCTGGACAGACGTATTATCGCAGGCAGCCCCAAGTGAGTGCCAAGCAGAGATGCCAGGTCCCATTTTGTTTTGGTATGCCGGCCAGGATTGAACTCTAACCACAAGGCCACTGAGTAGTAGGAAGAAAGGTTTCATAAACTACGCCAGGGCTGGCCACCCTCATGCCTGGTTCCTTCTAGGTTTCTTCTAGGTTTTCGCCTTTTAGGGTTTTTGCACGGCTTCTAGACCGGCATTCAGTGAGTTAGTAAGGAAGTAAGTGTTTTCATAAACATCCTCACTGGCTAATTGTGTCTATGCAAAGATCTGTATGGCATTGTCTGCTATGGTGTGGAGGCAATCTTCCTCCCAGTGTGTGAACATGCGGTTGTGTGTGCAGGTGTGTGTGTTTCAAATCAAATGTTGTTTTTTAGCACCGTATGAAGGAGGTGTATGGAAGGTACGAGTAGACCTACCGGACAAATACCCCTTCAAGTCTCCATCGATAGGTACAGTATGACAATGCATCTGTCACAACACTCTCTATGTAATATACAATTATAACAATTTGGTGAAAGCATTGTGGAAATGACAGTAACACCTTTTCAAGCCACAGATTTTCTATGAAGACTAACTGTGTTATTGTTCTCCTCACAGGATTCATGAATAAAATCTTTCATCCCAACATTGATGAAGCGTAAGTTCATTATGATGATTATCGTTTTAGTAGTTAGCAACTAATGTATGTTGATGTATAGGCCTGGACAAGCTTATCAATTATCCGTGATGTTTGTTTGATGTTAGCCTATATCACAAAATGATGCTCACAATTTGTTTATTTTATTCTTTCTCTCTCTCTCTCTCATTTCCCCTCCTTCAGGTCAGGGACGGTGTGTCTAGATGTCATCAACCAGACGTGGACAGCCCTGTACGGTGAGTAACAGTTCCAAAATGTCTAATTGGATACATAATGGACATGGTACCACCTCAGTTTAACAATGTTTGAAACCTACTGAATGGTTCGTTCCATGCCATGGTTACATACCTTTTCTCTGGTCAAATCTGGGCTGTTGGCTGTAAGGAGCAGCTGCGAGAAGCTGATATAAGAGGGACAGACTGGAAAAACAGGTCTATAATATCTGTATAAACTTAAGTAGCTCCCAACCGAGCATGATTGCCATTAGGTCTGTCCCCAACTAAAAACAATCTTGGTTGACCGAAAGCCATCTGTTCTTTCGACCAATTGAAGGGTCTACATTTTTAAACGTGTATCTTGCCATGTATAGACACGCCCTATGTGTTTGAATAAAATCAACTATATGCATTTAGCTTGTCTGATGCTTTAAGTGCACGGTTTGACGAAATAAGACACAAATGACTCAAGGGAGCCAGAGTTCAAGATAACCAGAAAATAAAAAACACCTGACCCAACCATCCTCTGCTGGCTTTCGCACATTCTGCCGTTACTCTCCTGAAGTTGCTGGTAATAGGCTACACGAGGAGTCTGCAACCTTTCTCATGTAGAAATCCAATTTATCTCACAATTTCTACCGATCTGCGTGCCAGTTATGGTTTTCATATGCACATGTTCGTTTCATTTAATTTATAACAACGTCTTCGTATTTCAAAAGTATTGTAATGTGGTTCATCAAAATTCTATCCAAATCTAAATGAAAATGATACAACCCTAAAAAGTAACTTATATTGCCATTGCCAACTATGTAGAAATAGCCTACATAAAGCCAACAAATAAAAACATTGTAGCCTGCAGGTAGAAAATATCCTGATAAAAATAGATATCCTATAAATCACATTGGCTACTCATGCCTGTCTGCAATTAACTTGAAAACATTGAATCAACTATTAACTTGGGTCCAGCCTGAAGCTTGTGCTAGCAAACTTGTAACATTGTATAAACAATTCTGGGCCCTAATAGTTTTCTGCACCAGTGCGCTCGGGACAGACACAGCCATAGGCTATTTGCCCAAGGGATAAGAAGTAATCAGGTAGGCCTATTTTATGACGTTTCCACTGGATCAGAGCATGACATTTTCCCTTTCACACTGAGTGGTTATCGAAAGGGAGAGGGCTGGAAAGATTTTTCAAATACATTGAGGAACTACTGTCATTCTCAATAGATGTAAAAACAGTCTTTGTTTGCTTGCTGTTTGAGGTGAAGAAAACATTACTTTGAGAAGCTCACAGCTCATTAGTGGTGGTGCGTTAAGCCAATCAGAAATACTATCAGATCCCCAAATGGGCACATTTATATGCCTACATTTGTGTGCAGGCCGGATAGCCTATAGGCCTACTTCTATGCATAATCAGGTGCACGTCCTTACTCAACATTGACAGGAGCGCTCCAAACAAAAGACAATGACTAAATTGACAAAACCTCGTAAATGGAATGAAATAAACCTAAACATGTTTCTCACACGTGTAGCATAGGTTGTGCGCTCTGAAAACAACAGGTCCACTCCGACAATCAGAACGGTAAAAGACTGGAATAGTAATATATTGGATGCATTAAGAGAAATTACCATAACCAAACAAACATTGTAGATGATAAATTATAGGAATTAACAGTACATTACTGGTGATGTACACTATATGACCAAAAGTAAGTGGACACCTGCTCGTCGAACATCTCATTCAAAAATCATGGGGAACATCTCATTCCAAAATCATGGGCATTAATATGGAGTTGGTCCCCCCTTTGCTGCTATAACAGCCTCCACTCTTCTGGGAAGGCTTTCCACTAGATGTTGGAACATTGCTGCGGGGACTTGCTCCCATTTAGCCACGAGCATTAGTGAGGTCGGGCACTGATATACGCTACCGTTCAAAAGTTTGGGGTCACTTAGAAATGTCCTTGTTTTCGAAAGAAAAGCAAATTTTTTTGTCTTTAAAATAACATCAAATTGATTAGAAATACAGTGTAGACATTGTTAATGTTGTAAATGGCTATTGTAGCTGGAAACAACTGATTTTTAATGGAATATCTACATAGTCGTACAGAGGCCCATTATCAGCAACCATCAGTCCTGTGTTCCAATGGCACGTTGTGTTTGCTAATCCAAGTTTATCATTTTAAAAGGCTAATTGATCATTAGAAAACCCTTTTGCAATTATGTTAGCACAGCTGAAAACTGTTGTGCTGATTAAAGAAGCAATAAAACTGCCCTTCTTGAGACTAGTTGAGTATCTGGAGCATCAGCAATTGTGGGTTCGATTACAGGATCAAAATGTCCAGAAACAAATAACTTTCTTCTGAAACTCGTCAGTCTATTCTTGTTCTGAGAAATGAAGGCTATTCCATGCGAGAAATTACCAAGAAACTGAAGATCTCGTACAACGCTGTGTACCCCCCTACCTTGTCACAACACAACTGATTGGCTCAAACGCATTAAGGAAAGAAATTCCACAAATTAACTTACAGTGGGGAGAACAAGTATTTGATACACTGCCGATTTTGCAGGTTTTCCTACTTACAAAGCATGTAGAGGTCTGTAATTTTTATCATAGGTACACTTCAACTGTGAGAGACGGAATCTAAAACAAAAATCCAGAAAATCACATTGTATGATTTTTAAGTAATTAATTTGCATTTTATTGCATGACGTAAGTATTTGATACATCAGAAAAGCAGAACTTAATATTTGGTACAAAAACCTTTGTTTGCAATTACAGAGATCATACGTTTCCTGTAGGTCTTGACCAGGTTTGCACACACTGCAGCAGGGATTTTGGCCCACTCCTCCATACAGACCTTCTCCAGATCCTTCAGGTTTCGGGGCTGTCGCTGGGCAATACGGACTTTCATCTCCCTCCAAAGATTTTCTATTGGGTTCAGGTCTTGAGACTGGCTAGGCCACTCCAGGACCTTGAGATGCTTCTTACGGAGCCACTCCTTAGTTGCCCTGGCTGTGTGTTTCAGGTCGTTGTCATGCTGGAAGACCCAGCCACGACCCATCTTCAATGCTCTTACTGAGGGAAGGAGGTTGTTGGCCAAGATCTCGTGATACATGGCCCCATCCATCCTCCCCTCAATACGATGCAGTCGTCCTGTCCCCTTTGCAGAAAAGCATCCCCAAAGAATGATGTTTCCACCTCCATGCTTCACGGTTGGGATGGTGTTCTTGGGGTTGTACTCATCCTTCTTCTTCCTCCAAACACGGCGAGTGGAGTGTAGACCAAAATGCTCTATTTTTGTCTCATCAGACCACATGACCTTCTCCCATTCCTCCTCTGGATCATCCAGATGGTCATTGGCAAACTTCAGACGGGCCTGGACATGCGCTGGCTTGAGCAGGGTGACCTTGCGTGCGCTGCAGGATTTTAATCCATGACGGCGTAGTGTGTTACTAATGGTTTTCTTTGAGACTTTGGTCCCAGCTCTCTTCAGGTCATTGACCAGGTCCTGCTGTGTAGTTCTGGGCTGATCCCTCACCTTCCTCATGATCATTGATACCCCACGAGGTGAGATCTTGCATGGAGCCCCAGACCGAGGGTGATTGACCGTCATCTTGAACTTCTTCCATTTTCTAATAATTGCGGCAACAGTTGTTGCCTTCTCACCAAGCTGCTTGCCTATTGTCCTGTAGCCCATCCCAGCCTTGTGCAGGTCTACAATTTTATCCCTGATGTCCTTACACAGCTATCTGGTCTTGGCCATTGTGGAGAGGTTGGAGTCTATTTGATTGAGTGTGTGGACAGGTGTCTTTTATACAGGTAACGAGTTCAAACAGGTGCAGTTAATACAGGTAATGAGTGGAGAACAGGAGGGCTTCTTAAAGAAAAACGAACAGGTCTGTGAGAGCCGGAATTCTTACTGGTTGGTAGGTGATCAAATACTTATGTCATGCAATAAAATGCAAATTAATAACTTTAAAATCATACAATGTGATTTTCTGGATTTTTGTTTTAGATTCCGTCTATCACAGTTGAAGTGTACCTATGATAAAAATTACAGACCTCTACATGCTTTGTAAGTAGGAAAACCTGCAAAATCGGCAGTGTATCAAATACTTGTTCTCTCCCACTGTTAATTGAAATGCATTCCAGGTGACTACCTCATGAAGCTGGTTGAGAGAATGCAAAGCTGTCATCAAGGCAAAGGGTGGCTATTTGAAGAATCTCAAATATATAATATATTTTGATTTAACACTTTTGTGATTACTACATGATTCCATATTTGTTATTTCATAGTTTTGATGTCTTTACTATTATTCTACAATGTAGAAAACAGTAAAAATAAAGACAAACCCTGGAATGAGTAGGTGTGTCCAAACTTTTGACTGGTACTGTGTGTGTATGTATGTGTATAATATATATATATATATATACAGTTGAAGTCGGAAGTTTACATACACCTTAGCCAAATACATTTAAAAACTCAGTTTTTCACAATTCCTGACATTTAATCCAAGTAGAAATTCCCTGTCTTAGGTCAGTTAGGATCACCACTTTATTTTAAGAATGTGAAATGTCAGAATAATAGTAGAGAGAATGATTTATTTCAGCTTTTATTTCTTTCGTCACATTCCCAGTGGGTCAGAAGTTTACATACACTCAATTAGTATTTGGTAGCATTGCCTTTAAATTGTTTAAATTGCGTCAAATGTTTTGGGTAGCCTTCCACAAGCTTCCCACAATAAATTGTGTGAATTTTGGCCCATTCCTCCTGACAGAGCTGGTGT